AGGAGAATTAATGGTTTTGAGGGTAATAAGAGAGTGAGTGATTAGAGTGGAAAAGTAACCATGGAAGGAAGGGGAAGGTGAGAGAGGAAATGGAAACTGGACCTAATGATGAAGATGATTGCATTTGGTGTTTGAGGCAGAGGAAATGGAAATGGAAAGACAGAGGTTGTGCGAGAGGCTAACCTGGAGAGATCAACATCGAAGGCTGCTTTTGGAATGAACCATTTATTTCTTTCCTTATCCTATCCTGTCAAACCTAACCCAAGGTCCCCATCAGGATAACTTATCAGGCTCTCGATAGGATAAAATAAGCCAACCTGATAAGTCTATGCTATCCACTGGGCTCAAAAAACAACTGATAAGAACAGGATATGATATCCTATCTTATTATGTCCTCCTTATCTAGTGCTCCAAACAAGTCTTAAAGCTCAAACCTTTGTGAGCGCCCAAACCTTTCTGGGCTCTGTATATGAAAGATTCTGATTAGCGGAGCTCAAGCCAAATAAGTCGTGCCTTACCCTATAACTATCTGATCCCTAACCTTTGTGGGTTAGTTCACATCAAAATCTTTCAGTTAAAAATTACATATTCCGTTAATATCCATTTGGTACCAAAGAAATTTCTTAGTTCTATAATCTTGACTCAATATCATTCTTATAATCAATAGAACATCAAATTTACAAAATCAAAGACAGAAGATAATCCAAAAGAATAGAAAAAATTTATAAGAAAATAGTTTGCTAGAGTAACGACACCTTCACAGATTTGAAAAAATAATTTCCAAATACCAATTTTAAATATAAAATAGATGGAAAAGAATTAAAATAGGAAAATGAGGATCTCTCCCAATATTACCTTCTTTTTTATTTGCTCACTCCCTTCTTCTTTCTGTCTCTATTTCCCCATCTCCTCTTTTTTTTTCCTTTCTCTTCCTATTTCGTGTTTTCTTACTTTCTCTCTCTATTTTTTTCTCCTTTCTTTTCTTTCCCTTCTCCATATTCTCCTTTCTTCTTTCTTTTCTCTATTCTTTGTTTCTTTCTTTTCTTCTCTATTACGCGCTTTCTGTCTTTTACTATTTTTCTTTCTTTCTTTGTCAGCTATATATATATATATATATATGTATATATGTGTTATGTGCTAATTACTTTTTAAAATATCTAATTCAAACTTATCCAATTAATTATTACGAATCTACTAAAATCTACGACTTTTACCATAATGCCTCCACGTGGCCCAGCTAATTTATTTTTTATATGTGGCACTACTGGCGTCGTCAATTTTATAAAACATGGCGCTTTAACCGCCAACCTCACATAAATTGGCGCTTTAAGCACAAGCCAAATTTGACAAATGCATACCATAAGGCACATCGGGCTCTTTTAGCATCGCACTATTCATTCTTCCCCCTTCCCCCAATGTTATAGTGTTGTTTGTGCCAATTATATATATATATATATATATATATATATATATATATATATATATATATATAGAGGTAGGATCCTTTGACACTGGTGTCAAATTTGAAGTTTGACACCTTATCTGAGAGCCGTTAGATCAAAAAAGATCAATGGTATCACATGCTTACAAATCAAAGTCATTAATTTTTTTTGATCTAACGGCTCTCAGATGAGGTGTCAAACTTCAAATTTGACACCGGTGTCAAAGGATCCTACCTCATATATATATATATATATATATATATATATATATATATATATATTGAATATTACAATCTTCATAAGCAAAATCTTCAATAAAATCTGTTTATTCAGACGAGCACCTTCTTTCGATTGTTTAAAGGGCAAAAGCCCCAAAAATCGCAAGAAACTACGACAACCTACAAATTCGGGACTTTCTCACAAAGGATAGGTCTCCATAGAAAATAAAACTAAGATCTGATGAAATGATCTCAAACACTATATGGCTTGCCTCCGCATTGTAGTGTAATAAATAGTTGGCCAGCCAATCAGCCCATTTGTTGCCTTAACTATAAACGTTTTGCACGTTCACGGACCAGTTCATGTTGATTAATCTTTGAATTTGAGACATAAGATGGCTCTCTCATAGTGCATTACCTTGTTTAGTAAGCAAAGTGACAATAGAGGAAGAGTCACTTTCAATACTAACTTTTGATAGACCTTTGTCCTTTGCAAATTCTAGACCTTTTAGTACTCCCAATAGTGCAGCTGTGAAGGCAGTGCAATTTCCCACTCTGCAGGCAAAACCACCCATTCATTGACCCTCTATAGATACCTCTGTAAGTAGCTTGGCCAGGTTTCCCCTTGGATGCCTTATCAGTATTAGTTTTAACCTATTGTTCTTCAAGCGTGGTCCATCCTACTTGAATAATTGTTTGATGATGTTCAGTGTCTCTGCCTGGGTATTTCTTAAATGCATTACCTATTTCAGCAATTTTCCTCCTCAAACTTTGATGAATCTAATGCGGGTGGCGGCACTTATTTGAGTGAACTTCTTCGTTTCTCAAGTTCCAAATTTGCCAACACAGGACAAAAAAAATTATGATCCATTGATCATTGTGAGCTCGTTGGTTCCCACGATTGATGTTTTGTAAAAGCCAGTATTGCAAGTCTTGTTGGAAGAAAAAACTTACCTATAAGTCATCCACTAACTTTGTCCAAGTTGCAGCAACTCTCGGGCAATCACGGAGAGCATGGATAATTGTCTCTTTTTCTTGTTGGCAACTAGGACATATATCATTTGTCTCGTCCCATTTAGCACTCCAGGTTCGCATCAGTAGACGCCCATGCATTTGTTTTTCTAATTTGATTATCTATATCTCTTTCAGTTTTAAACGTATTCTCTCTTATAATATGTACTTCTTATTTTTAAAATTCAGTTAACATTTTTTATGGAATATGTTATACGTCAAAAAGTTTTCAACGTCAAATAGATTCTGTCGAAATTATTGGACAAGAAACAAACTCCATGAGAAATTTTGGGCAGAATATATTTTCCATCAATTTTTTTTTACCGAATCAGTTTTGCGTCAAATTTTTTTATGGAATCTTTTTTTTCTTTTTGGTACAATTTTTATGAAATCTATTTATCGTTGAAAAGTTACACAAATATGATTTCTTTAATATTTTCAACAGAATCTATTTTCCGTCGGAAACATTTTCGACAAAATTTGTTTTCTATCCAATTCTTTTGACATAATCTATTTTCCATTTTTTGGCAGAAATGATTTCCATCGAAAATAATTTTTTTACGGAATAATGAATTTCATATCTAGTTCCATCTCTATTTTTTATGGAATTTATTTCCATATCTATTTTCAACGGAATACATTTCCGATCAAAAATTCCATCACTAATTTCAATGATTTTTTTTTCGTCAGTAATTGGGACTTTTCTAGTAGTAAATAAGACTTTTAAATCTTATACTGGAGCCAAAAAATTCTCTCCCCTAAATATCAATTAATCAGTTTCATCGTTTACTTTAGAACATTCTATATACAGCTAAATATATAATTGTAAAATTCTTAATTTTATTTAATTTTTATATAAAAATGATTCTTTGGCTAAGAAATTATATCCTTTTGAAGTTTTAATTATAATTTTTTAAATATGGAATAAACTAATTGAAAGTGCAACTTATAATTTATTTTAATAAAAAATTTATAACCGAAATGCTCAAGAGATAGAGTTGAATTGTAAAACTTTTTTAATGCAAAATAATTTAACCCAAACACGCGCAGATCATTTATAACGTGTGATTTTTATTTTATTTTATAAAATGTGGATATTTTTATGGAGGATTATTTTATTCGGGATAATTTTAAACGTTAACTCCGTCTAAAGATAATACTGAAAAAAAATTGAAAGATACTTTCACTCCAATCTACTCAATTACAATATATCAACTAAGTTACCATAACTAGTATTTTATATCAAAACCTTTCTAGATATTAAAAAAGCTAGATTTAAAATAATGTTGTATTTAAAGTAAAAGTTTCCTTCTTTTTTTGTTAAAAAAAGTCCTTATTTCTTTCCGTATCTAATTTTTTCCCTGATTTGATTGGATGCTCTTATTTAAAATCATTAATTTGCAGGAAAGTGACATCATCTACGGATTCCTACTTCCTAAGCGAAAGGCCTGAATCTTTTTTATCTAAAAAAAAGTAACTAATAAACTTTTCAAAGTATTTTATATTAAACCAATTTTAAGTTGAATTTTGGACAAATAATTTTTTTAACCAATTTAAAGTAATTGTTGGAATCACCTCGTTATTAATATTCGGTCGCAACATTATCTGAATGATTAATTTATCTCTTTTGTCAAAAAAAAAAGTTACTTTATTGTTCATCTAATAAAATATAACAAACAAATCTGTTATATATAATGTACACCATCGAATGAAAAGTACGATATTAAAAAAAAATATCTTAGCGTATAAACAGGCAGCGTGTCGCATGGATTTGCTTTAAAAATGATATCTACACCGTAAACATAAAGTGCCAAAAAAGGAAAATATCACACAGAACGATAACGACGAAGGCATAACGGGAAGCATGATAGTGAAACCTCTAGAATTATTTAATAAGGAGATAAGTTATCTTATATTATAGATATAATTATATGATATATCCCATTATTTATTAAAAAGAAAAAAAAATACACAAAAATTGATGAATTTGTAGAAAATTATATTATTTTCATATAACATAAGAATAATATAACTATTATTTAATGGCATATATGATTCAAATTAAGCTAACTAATCATTAATATGTAAATATTTTCGGTACTATAGATATAACAAGTAATCGGTATGTATTTATCAAATATGGAAAATAAATAAATACATTTACATTACTCTTATATTTATGATTATTTTTTTTAATATTTTTTTTTTTAAACTTTTTTATAAGGAAGTACCTACTTCCATATCAACAAAATTTTACTCCGTATATCGATAGCCATATAAAGCCTCAGAATCAGAACAGAGATCACTAAAATTGTCATAAAAAAAAACCATGAAATTTTTAGTGAGCGTTTTCCTTATATTATGCTTTGCGTCCACCTTGATCATTGTGATGGTCACAATGGAACCAGCACAGTATTTGTTCGGAACTCATGAATATTATATCCGAGTAATCAATGGCTTCACCGACAATTCTTCTGTGCCTTTGGTTATTTGGTGTTCGTCGGAGGATATGGATCTTGGTGGGCGTGCCCTTCAAGAGCATGATGAGTTTAGCTGGATTATGAGGCCCAATTTTTGGAGCAGCAACCACATGAAGTGCACAATGAAATGGGACAACATAAGGAAGAGTTTTGATGCATTTAAGGCTTCTAGGGACACATATCGTTGTGGCCTTCATAGAATGTGCTCTTGGATGGTCACACAAGATGGATTTTATTTCAGCAACGATGATGTCAATTGGAGGAAGCAATTCTTGTGGTGAGTTTGGTGCCAAGGTTCCCAAAGCTTTCATTCATTTTTTTTTTTTTTTTTAGTAAACCCAAAGATATTCCTACCTCTTTGGGATGAGACTAATCCTTTTCATGGATTGAAACAATAAAGGTATCTCTATTAGTTCCAAAGTGCACTTTGCAGGAATCGAACTTCAAACCCTTTAAATTCACGAGCTCGACTCGAGCTCAGCACGCTCCACAACTGAGCTACACCCCCGGGTTCAAAACCTTGCTTTAGTTATAGCAATCTGTGTAATGGGAATGTGAGTAGTTTTGCATAATGAACTAGAGTTATAAAAGGATTTGTCCTTTGTACGGTCAAATCATTCCGTAGAAATCAAAAGTTTTGGTCGATACATTTTTGCGGTCATGAGTGCTCTGCATTGATGGCATTTCTCTGCTCTCCTTTCAACGCTGTTTTCAAAACTTGTTTATTTCAAGGTTTATTGTTTGTCATATTATAAAAAAGGGTTTATTACTCTCAAGTAACAGCAAAATAAAATTTTGTTCCTCCAGACACATTCAAAAATAGGACCCATCAAGGTGAGAGAAAAAAAACAAAAAATGTAAGGGCAGGAGACACTGTCATTTTGCTGGTACTTGAGATAAATAAAATTCTTATAAAAAATAAATTTATCTTTTATATATACATAAAAATATATTGGATATATAATTTCTTTTTTTCTCTTTTCTTTTTATATGTGTTCATATGTTTTTTTCATGTATAAAAGATAAAATTTATTTTTTACAATATGAGAAATGTTGATCCTTTATTTCAAACATAAAAAAGATGATAAAGCTATAAAGAAGCTGTAGAAAATTTGTTGAAATAGATAAAAATTTGCGCAAGACAATTTTCTTTTTTGTCTCTTACAAGGCGTGCCCACGCTTTCGAGTTGTGAAAGTTATCAACACTATGGTGCCACTATATACTCCTAGCCACAAATGGGCTAATTGACCTAGTTAGAAAATAAAAATAAAAAATCGAACCACTAAAAATGATCTAGTGAACGAGAAGTTTGGATAATTTATTTAAATTTATAAATTCAAATCTCACAGTCACTATTTTTTTTTTTTAAATGTAAAAAAATTAGTGACAGTATGAGATTTGGTGACTTAGATGGGGCTGCCCCGTGACACTGTCTCACTCTTTTAATAATTAATTAAGAATTAAATATAGTTAAAACGAAAGAAATGTAATGAAAATGTGAAAGCTGCGTTTTGTAAAACCGTTGTTGGAAATGTAACAAAAATCAATTGCATTAATGATATCAAAAGCATCATTCAATTCAATTCATTGGAAAAAAATTCCAACTAAGGTAATTTCTGAATTTGTCCCTCAAACTTGAGGATTTGTTAATGGTGCATTATCTCTAATTAAAGAAAATTTATTAATTGTAGATTTTGATAATGGAATACATATGGTGTTTATTTACTAATTTAACCACGGCCATATTTGTAGCTAATATTTTTAAAATAAAATTAACAGACTATTACTGCCACGTGAATTATTAGGTGACAGGCGCCGGCTTTTTGACCTTTATAACCCTTTATTAATAATTAATTATCAAATTGACCTTCATTATAAACTATTTCAAAAATTTAACCCCCTCAAAAAACATAACACCAATCTACCTCTGTTTGACCGTTGACCACCAAGCCTACCCGGGTACACCCCTCCCTACCCGGGTATTTTTTGAAATTTTTTGCCTACCCGGGTAGGTAGGGGGTATTGTTCTTGGCATATGAAAAATTGCTTGAATTATTTACCCGGGTAGGTAAGGGTGTACCCGGGTAAATCTCCACGTCTTGAGAAAATTTAGAATGGTGTAATGATGCACAATCCAAGCTCAGCCTCAAGCCACAGATGCAATGTGGACAATCAAATCAACAACACAGGTGCTGCAAACAAAGAAACAAAATGTCCTTGTTACCAGTAAAACTCCGTAAAGTAACAACAAAGGATTAAGGGAAAAAAATTTCCTCATCCTATTCAAGACCTGCTATCGCCAACAAAGTCAGTAGACACCACATCATCTTCAGTGTAACCCAAAATCCCCTACAATTTGCCCTCTGATTCCTCCCTGGATATTGTTATTTCAACAAAAAAAAGATTGAGATAGGAGGAAAACCCAATTCAATTTTACTAAAAGTAAGAAGACTTCAAAAATTTTAAAATTTACTTGATAGCAGCTTTGTCTGGTCATAGGTTGCAGCCTTCTCCAGCCTGACAGTGAGGTCAACAACTGAAACATCCACAGTAGGAACTCGAAAAGACATTCCAGTCAATTTACCATTTAGCGATGGAAGAACTTTTCCTAGAGCCTGTTTTGTCACAAATTCAACATTCAATGGTGACAAAGAACAAAAGCTTTGGAATAGAATTTCCACCATTTAATCAAATGTTGTATCAATTTATATATATAACAGGTACCTTAGCAGCTCCAGTGCTGTTGGGAATTATGTTGAAGATGTGGAGATTTACCCGGGTACACCCTTACCTACCCGGGTAAATAATTCAAGCAATTTCTCAGATGCCAAGAACAATACCCGGGTACACCCCTATTTACTCGGGTAAGCAAAAAATTTCAAAAAATACCCGGGTAGGGAGGGGTGTACCCGAGTAGGCTTGGTGGTCAATGGTCAAACATGGGCAGATTCGTGTTATGTTTTCTGAGGGGGTTAAATTTTTGAAATAGTTTATAATGAAGGTCAATTTGGTAATTAATTATTAATAAATGGTTAGAAGGGTAAAAAAGCCAACACCGGATAAGGTTGCTCCAAAACCTATCACCTCATTTAACTCCCAAATCGATAAATGACTTTTGCAGTTCTCTATATTTGAATTTTTTTTTTTGAGTAAATATCTTTTTTGGTCTCAGAAAATTTCACGAAGTCCGTTTTAGTTCCTAACAAATAAAAAAGTCTATCGTGGTCCCTCACAAATTCAAAAAAAACTCATATTAGTCCTCAAAAGAACATGGGTCCAATTTGAATTTTTTAGGAACCACGATGGACCTTTTTATTTGCTAGGGACTAAAACGGGTCTCGTGAAATTTTCTGAAGACCAAAAAAGGTATTTACTTTTTTTTTTTTACGAGTTTCGTCAATAGCCTCCACAAAAGCAAATTGCAGTTTTGCAGATTTGTCAAACGACCCACTTACTTTAGTTCAAATTAATAAAATGGTGTAAATTTAATTAAAATACATATATGTTTAAATTATTAAAAATTAATTTATATACACTGCCAGGCTCAACAAATAGTTAACAGTAAAAAACTGTGGCAACAAAAAGTTGCCAAATTGAAAATATATTACAGCCAGAGTAAGTATTAGAGCCTGAATATATTTGTTTATTTTAAATATAAAATGCAAGTTGAAATCAGTGCGACTCAGGTTCAACCGTGAGAATCGGGACCGGTTTAGGGGTTGAACCAGTTTTGGGGTTTTTAAAAAAATCATTTTACGCAATGTGTAGTTGTCAAGACTCAAACCCAAGTGACATAGTATGAAATAAGAAACATCAACCATTATGTCAATTCTTCATTTAAGATATATATTTTTTTGGATATTACTATAATATATATTATCATTACTATAATATTTATTATATACTTTCGTATAAATTTAAATCAAACGGTTCAATTAATCACTCACCAATTAAACCAATGACCCATACGGTATCTCAATTAAATCGATCACGAGTGAGTTTTTATAAAATTGTTGAAATAAAGCTCAAAAAATTGTCTTCCTGCATGCATACACGATAAGGTGGAATTGCTATAAGAGGGTGTTTGGTGTGAGTATTTGGTATGAAATGATGGGAAATAAGAGTGGGAAATATTTATGTACTATGTTTGATATGAGTATTGTGAGCAAAATGCCAGCAGTTTTTTGTTTCCAATAAACCATTTTTGAACTACACAAAAGCAAAAAAAATTCCCACTCAACCTTTGGTATTTTTTGTCCCTGATCTTGGATTATGAAAAAGTAACATTTGATTCACTTTTTTCAAAAAAAAACACTTGATGATGACTCACTTTTTATATTAAAAAAATTAAGGGTAATTTTCATTCACATTCTAATCAATATTTTACCATCAACCAAACATAGCATCAGTAAAATTAACCCAACTTTTCCGACAAAATTTTAGCCAACGAAACACTTTTTTGTAACTTATCCGGAATAAAAAAATTCCTATAAAATCACCAACAATCTTTTTTTCTCGATAAAAAAAATCTCTCATATCAAATGCTCCATTAGTGGGTGGATATATATATATATATATATATATATATATATATATATATATATATATATATATATGATAGGATCCTTTGACACCTTTGACATCAAATCCCAACCGTTGATTTTCGTCAATCAACGGTTATCATTTATTGTGAATTACACTTATTAATTAATCATTAATTCCAATAAATGGAGAATTAATGATACTTTGTTATGCGCTTTTGAAAGAAAAGGGATGCAATGAAATGGTAGTAATTCAGTAGGGAGTTAAGTAAATAGAAATTAAAGGATTCAGTTCGATTTTCAATAATAAAAAGGATGGAATTTTTGTTTTTTGCGACATAGAATGATAGAAATGAAAATTTAATTGGGCTGCCAAACACTTCTTTCTTGTATTTTTTTAAAATAAGAATCTCTCACAATCTTTACATATTAGGATAATCCTTATTTATAGTACTAAAGTTAACTCTTTCTATAAGACATCAGGTTAATATTTTTAATTTATCCACTGATTTATTAATTATCCAATTGATTCCATGTTATATATTTTCACTCTTATACATAAGATTGAATTTTTATTATGAAATATTTATGTCTAGAATTAAATTATGCGCAATTTTCAACATAAATCCCCCTATAACTACAACTTGCCCAACCCACCCATTCAAGCTAAACTATGCGTGGATGAAAGAGTTCTGAATTTATTTGTAACTTTGCTACTTCAGAAATTCTTAATTCTGTT